TGTTTTATCCAGGACACAGGTGGGCCCAAGGGCTCTCTTTTTGGCTGGCATTTATATTTCAAGTGGAGAGACATTGCTACTCCAGATGAGTTATGAGATAAACAGGAGAAGAAGGTGTACATGCACTTAAAGAAAAAAACATAAACCAATTTCTTATATTAAATGTGTAGGAAATGTACAAACAGAAAAATTTAATTTCGGATTGAAAATGTTAAATTTAAATTTGAAAAATATTCTGTTAAATAAGAAATACATTTAAATGAAATATTTGCATATTAATAACGAAATGCAAGAGAAAACATTCGTTATTGTCACGTGCAATTTTCTCTTGGTGTGTTTTCATTTCCTTTTAGTATGAAAACACATCTACTAAGAAGCTTACCCATTACAAATAGCATTTAACAAGGATTAATTTATGTCCAAACAAACACTAAATTTCAGTGTCAGGTGTTTGGGTTTTCAGCGCCCGTATAATAATTCATCAGTTCTGTTTAAACATTAATTTTTATGTGAGAGAAGAGCTTCCATTGAAAACAAATGGAAACCTGCCACCTGTGCATAATTCAATGTTCATTAACTACTTAAAAATAGCTCTTCAAAAATACTTATTTCATTCTACACATAATTATAGGCCATTATATTGATGATTTTTTTCGTTTATTGTTCGTTTTTCGTTATAAACTGCCTTATGGGCCTTAAGCCCTCGCTTACATGGAAAAAAAACTGTTGAAAAACAAACAAATAAAACGATCAAAGCAAACAGGGGGGTGAAAACCCAAAAAGCCATCAACATGGCTGGGAGTGGAGTTTGAGAAGATTACATGACTTTCAGCACGCGTGTGGGGGCTCCTAAACGTCTTCCGATGATGTTGCCCAATTAATCAAAGACATGATTTGTGGCTGCCATTCCCACTAAACGGAACGCCACCATAAATCACGCAATACTCGAAGAAAGAAGAAAATAATGGAGTATGCCCCCATATGGCATCAAGAAATTTTCATTGCCTAATGAAGCATTCGATTTTGCATTTGTCGTTCTGCAAAAAGATTCAATTTGTTAATTAAATTCGGTTACAGGTGGCAGCAATTGCCACACAGTGCAAAAAAACAACACTTTTTGCCCCACATGTGGACCCAAAAACGAGCATCGAATGTTATGGGGCCAGAATCTGGTTTTGGCTTTGGCTTTGCCTCTGTCTCTGGCTCTGGCTCCTCCCAGTTACATGATTTATTGTTGTTTGTCGAACGTGAGCGCCAGTGTGTGTGCCCCAAACTTTTTCTAAAGTAATTTGCGACAAATCATAAAGGCATTTGTTTTCTTCTTTTTTTTTTTTGCCTCCCCATGCGGCGCAGAATTTATGCGCTCGCTCACATGTGTGTGGGAGTGTGTGTGTGTGTGTGATTCTGCCTCAGGAGAAGCTCAGGTGTGTCAGATTCGTTGCTGTAACATCTATTAAAGCCACCTGGCAGCCAAAAGACTGAATTATGAACAGCAAAATCAAAAAATAGATGGAGTAGCACCTCACAAACTCCACAAAGTCGGAAACTCGGCAAACTCTACAAATGGCCATCCATCGACTGGCCCTTTTAGTAGACAAACATAATTAACACTTTGATATAATTTTTGCAGTTTTACAAAGTCACAAAAGTTGAGGGAAAAGCCAGGCAGGAGTTATCACTAGCCGCCTGGCGCTTCAACGCCAGGGAAATCCATCCATTAACATAATTACGTAGAAACATGAAATTATCATGTAAAGGGGCATCCTGTACTGTTCCTGTTCCTGCTGCTGCTGCTGCTCCTGCTGCTCATGCTGCATTCCTGGCCCCGTCTTCCTGCTTGATTTTAATTTGTTTTGGGCTGAACGGAGCAGAGCAGCGTAGAGCTGAGCGGAGCGTAGCCTGAGCAAAGAGCAAAAAACCAACACGTCCTGCAGTACATCATCGTCATCATTAGCGCGAACAGTGTTTCCTTCACAATGATAGCAAACAGCATGCAAAAAGGGAGGGAGTAGGGGCCAGAGGATATATACTCACCGAAAGAGGCAGAGAGGAACAGCGGGAAGGGCAGCTTCCCTTTTGCATAAACTGGCTCTGGCTCTGGCTCGGGGTTTGTGGGTACGGATCTCTGGCTGCTGCTCGCTGCTGCCTGCTGCTGGCTCCTAGGGTTCGCTCGGTTTCCCCTGCTTATGCTTCCTTATGCCAGTACTCAACGCCACTTCCTTCAGCTCATTCATCTCGCAGCACGCACACAAACATGGAACCGTAAAGAAAACATGTGAATATTACGACTAGAAGATGTCTTGCATAAGGGAAAAATACTTAAAATGAATAAAGCTGATGTTAGTGGATATCTAAAAGGATGTTTGTTGTGGCTAATCAAGCAGAAGCAATGTGTGCACGTAACATTTGTCATTGCATTGCAGCACCTTCCAAATACTTTCTTCCTTTATGCAATATACTCCTTGCAAACCATAAGCTTACAGGGTATGTAGCGGCAGACAGGCCTGGGCTCACATAATTCAAGTTGAGCTCGTGGCACAGGGAACACGCGGTCTGGTTCTGGGTTCTGCGTTCTCTGGGTTCCTTTCCTTAATACTGGGATCTGGAGCTCAGCTGTCGCGGCTGGCAGTTTCACTTCACGCCATCATCTCATTGTCGGGAACCAAGAGTCGAGTCGGTGTGTGTTTTGGGGTTGGGGTTGGGGTTGTCTGTGGCTGTCTGTTTTTGAAAATTTTGAAGGGTCTCCTTGTGCCTTGTTCCTTCTTTTCTTATACCCGTTTTTTTTGCGTTCCTTCATTGTTTTTTCTCGATGAGGTTTTCACCCCTTTTCTTAGGGAGGAAGGAAGCAAGGGTGTAGTGTCCTGGCCGTATCCCATTTTTCGTGCACTGTGTTAAGTGTTTCCTAAATTGTAATTATACTTTTGCGTTTTAAGCTATTTTTTTTGTTGATTGTCTTTTGTTTTTTTCTTGTTTATACAGTCCTGCCACATTGCCACATTTAGTCCCGTTTTCTGTGTCAGTTTTACGGCTTTTTTGTTGCTGTTTCTTTCGCTGTTATTTGTGTGGTTTTCTCGGTGTTGTCCGTGTATGTTTTTCCCTTCTTAATTTGAGTCAAATTGAAATTAATATGATAAAGTGCCGAAGCGCGCGTGCTGAATTGCAGAGTTTCAGGCATATTCCACCTCGTACCTCTGTACTCGTTCCTGTAATTTACCAATTGCATTTTAAGCAGCATTTTACCGCTCAGGGGTTGGTTGCTGCATGCAGCCCATGAATGTGTGTCCCAAGGTGTCACAGTCAATTGTAAAATATCCCAAGCAAGGGGTCGGAGCTGCCACTGTACCACATGACGTATGGGCAATTGTTGTTTAGGCTGTGAATCTCTCTCTCTCTCTAGCCATTTGTAATCCTAGTAAAAGCAAAGAAGTTTATAAATCATTTCAATTACATTTTGCGGCAGCTCGAGTTCTCCCTTTGTCTCCTTCTCTGTGTGACAGCCAAGATGAACTGGTTGGTGCCCCCGGTCCTTGGGAAACTTTTCGCCAGCAAGAGCAGAAAACTTTGACAAACTTTTCGCCACTTGACATGTTTGGGTGTGTTGACAGGACAGGCAGCTCCTCTGCTCTGGCCATAACTGCTGCTGCTGCTGCCTGGATTAACAATTGAAATATGCTATGCCAAGTTGAATGCATCAACTTGGAACACTGCCACATAATGTGGCAATTAAGCTGGAAAGGTTTTGCTGAATGGCGAGTTGTGGGTGGGAATTTTCTTTGACAAACTCATTGATATGGACGACAGCGTGGGCAGGGGGGAAAATGGCAACGCAGAGTTCATGTTTCATTGAGTTCAACCTCTGACAATGGTTATCTTTCGCTGGCACGAGCATTTCTGTGCTTACTGGCCACTGCATTGGCCATTCCATTACTTTATCTCTAGTCCATTATGTCTCCGCTAATATGCCAGGCATCTCCTCCTGGTGGCCACCTTTTTTCTGTCCACTGCCAGCTGCTGCCGCTGCTCTTACTGTTCCACTCCCCCATGCTCTTCCGCTGCCACCGCTTTATGTGTGCTCTATATAATCAGATATGGCTTTTTATTTCTCTGTCTCTGACTTTGGCTCGGTCCTTCGTAGAGCGAAAAAGTAAAATTAAATGCAGATAAATATCAAATAGAAGGTTGCAAGGGGAGAGAAAATATACATTCATATATGTACATGTGTACATACATACAATACATATCTCTTATGATATATTTCGAAACATTTATCACAAGTTAATTTGATTTTAATGAAATAAATTCAGCAGCACAGCGGGCCCTGGCCAGGCCAGGCCACACGGCAGCGTGGCAGCCGTGGCAGACAAACTGGAAACCCCGGACTCAACTCCAGATCTCAAAGGGTAGATAATGTTAATGAATAAATGCGAGGGAATCGTGAGGTCATCAGCAGTAGCAGTAGTAGCAGCAGCCGCAGCCCCCTGCTAGCGGCAACTGGAACATCCATAAACTTTCGACAATATTAAGCTATTCCCACTTTTTGGTGGTGGTGCTGCACCACTTCACTCCACTCCTCGCCACACCACACCACACCACTCCACTCCACTCTAGCGGCAGCAGCAATTAAAAGGGCAACAACGAGGCACAAATTTGTTTAGCTTTTTGGCGTAGCTCTGCAGCTGCCACCACGCGGGGGAACGTGACATGCATTTTTGGCGTTGACTATAAGTTTGCACATGGATGTATGTTTTTTTATATGCTGCATTTATATGGTTACATTTTTATTTGGTTGCCGCCTGTTGTTTTTCCTGCGCCTTCCATTTATTTTTTTCGGGTGACTCTTTCGCGTGTGGTGGAAAAAGAAATTAACATAAACGTCAGCGGCGCATATTTTAACTCGGTCAAATTGCCGGCGTCCGGTCAGCAGTGGGTCTCGCGGTACTCGCACTACTGCTTCCCCCGTCCCCTCGTAGAAACCTCCATCTGTCCCACCAACCCCATGACAATCCTCCTCCGGGTCGTTTGCATAAACAAATTTGCAGCGCCATTTGCCGGCCGGTTTCGGTTTGTGTTCAGTTTATACTCTTTTGCTGAGGGTCTTAATGACTTTGATCGGTGGCAGAGAATTAAGAGTTTTTTTAAAGAATTAAAATCACTTAAAGCTTTAGATAGAATTCAAGAGGATGTGTTTACCGAATCGGAAGAGCTCCATTTGGAGGTTTTCCCAGATAAATGCATCCTTCAAAGGAAATATTGTTGTGCCCCACATAAACAAAGGACAGAAGCTGGTATACGTTCCCAATAAAAAGTGTTAACTGTCACCTGAGATGGATGGATAATTCAACCAATCCATCACTAATTGAATTTACCACATACATAAGTCGCTTTTTTATTCAGCTTCTTACTTTCTTTGATGAATCTGTAAGGGTATCTGGGAATTCACTTGCCGCTCGATCTCAGGGCCTTCCTTTTTCGTTTAGTATATCTTGTTTTATTTTTTGTTGCGTGTCGTTTTTTCGTGCTGCCGTCGCCATGCAGTTTGTTAATGAAAGTTCCCACCATTAGAAACAGGTTCGGTGCGTTGGTCGCGACGCCGGAAGGAGACGCCTCGATGCTGATTACGCCAAAAAAAATGCTGTTTTTTTTTTGTATTTTTTGACAATTTTGAGTTATGTTTATGGAAATTAGAAGGCAGTCGGCGCCTGCCTGCTGCTGCCTGACTCATTGAAAGTAAGGGGTCTGTCCGTCCGTTCGTCCATCCACAAACTGGTAAATTAAATTTAGAACAAATGGATGAATGGCACAGATTTGTTTGCATTATTTCGTCATAAGCAAAAACAACAACAAAAAACAACAATACAGAAATTGATGCTAAACAAACTGAATTAATGGGGAAAGCAGAGTTCATTGTCCGCTGTGGCTGTGGCTCTGGCTCTCTGTGGCTCTGTGACTCTTTCTACGCTTTTTGCGATGGCACCGAAAAATGGCAGCGCCGAGGCGTGCCAAATTTTAAGGGTTGCTTCATTAGGCGAGCCAGAAACCCTTTTGGAATCCCCCAAACCAAAGCGAAACCAAACCAAAAACCGTGACCAAGTAATCCAACGTCCCTTACACACATATAAACATTCGTATATACATTTCTTGAGTTTCTTCTCAAAGGAATTAAGTGATAAAAAAACCAAGAGGCTCATTTGGCTATCTTAAATGTTTTTTAAAGATTTTCTTGCTGAATGGCCATAAACAATCCTTTTTACCGTGCCTCAGCAAAAGCCCTATCCAGCGCCTCAAAGTTCGCTTACTTGGCGAGTTATTTTCTTTCGATTTCCATGTGTTATCTTCGTTTTACGCTTTGCATTGGATTCGATTCGATTCCTTTTTGATAGCTTGTGTCGCCATCAAGAGGAGCAAGTAGTAATAGTACAATACATTAGTTACGCTTACGCTAACGCCCCCAGCTCGGAGCCACGCCCAGCGCAACTCGATAAAGCCATAAAACTCGATAAGGCAATCAAATGGCCCTTCCTCCTGCCGTCCCCCTGTCACCCCTCACAGTTCTTTCGCTTCAGTTGCAGCTTGGTCGTCTTGCCCCCTCCGGTCGGAAGCCATAATAAAGAACTGCCAAAAAGCAAACGCTCTATGGAAGACGCTTTGTCAGCGCGCCCTCTCACTCTCTTTCTCTCTCTATGTCTCTGTGTGCCTCTCTTTCTTGTATTTTCTATCTCCTTTTAATGGCGGCTATTGTAAAACGAAGCTTCCTCTCTTTCAATACAAGAACTCCCACACCCATGATACACACACAAATACACACTTCTCAGACGCATACACTCAAACACTATTGTAGGGCTTGCTCTCGAGTTTTTGATACCCTTTTTCAGCGGCATGGCAGTTTTGGCGGTCAGTAGCTTGTGGATGTATATTGGGGTATATGCAACACAATAAACAAACTGTATTTGTGGTTGGAAGCGTACACCTTCTTATCACTCAATTGTTGTATGATGATTATAATAACATCAAACTCAAGCCACCTTAACCTAACGTAAGCATAGATAAATCTATAGATTTGTATTGGAATTTTACTGTACAGTTCTCTACCGACTAAGGGGAAGTCTACCGCGCTCTATAAAATTTGCATAGTAAAAAAAGAATAAACATAAACAAAAATCAAAGAAAATAAATAAGTGTTTACATTGTACATTGTATGTAGTTAAAATTAAATGCCTGCAAAAGTAAAATAAATCTCAAATCTCTTTCTTCAGGGTATCCAAAGCTGCGACTCTCGCTCTTAAGCTTTCTTTCTGGTTTTATTGTTGCGTTTCCTTGGGTTATTTGTTAAGTATTTTTGCACGATACAAGCTTGTTGTTGTTGTTGCTGCTGCCGTTTCATATGTACGGACATACATGCATATATACAATTTGACGTCATGCTTCATGCAACGTAAATCACCAAGAGAACGAAGCGAGAGAGAGCGAGAGAGAGGGAGGAGTTGCTTGCGTAGGATATAATGGAGTTGCAACGGCGAAGGCTACAATGTCGGCGATGATGATGACGATGATGACGACGCGTCGTTGGGGCAGCAGACATTAAATTGACAGACGACCACCGACCGTACATACATACATATGTACATAAACATATGTATACACGACACACACACACACACACAGAGAAGACGAACACACACGGATACATAGCCATGACGAAACTTACTAAAAATCACGTTGTCGTAGGCCATGGTCGACATGGGTCTCGTCATCGTCACAAAGACATCCTCAGCGTGTCATTCATTTTGTCTTTGTTTAAAGTCTTTTATGGCATATCGCTCTCGCCCCTCGTCCACACTCTTCATACTACCGTTTCTCATACTCTCCGCTGCTCTCTGGGCCACTTACGGGTACGACCAGTTTTCTCAGTGCGTCCTCAGGCGGCCTCGAGGGGTTGGCTGGCAGACGACGACGGCGGCCAGCAACTGAAACTGCAACTGAAATTCTATTTACAGTGTAACGTAATATTTTCTTAAACTTTTGCCCAACACCCCTTATTTCCATACCCCATGTTGTTGTCGCTGTTGTTGCTTTTAGGTGGGTTTCCCATTGTCTGGGGGTTGCCCTCTTCGGATTCTTTGCCTGTCCTGTCTGTCTGGCAGATTTTGCGTGCGCTTCAGTTGACAGCATTATAATAATGAAGTTTGATTGGATTACATTGCAGCGGACATGAATGCAAAAACATTAACACAGTTCCACAGTGCCGCCTACCGCTCCCGCCTCCTGCTCCTGCTCCAGCTTCCCTTTCTCCTTCTCAGCTGCAATTTGAGTGGTGAGGCTTGGAAAAACTTTTCATAATTTCCAAGCAGTTAGTAAAGTTTCCCTCCATTTCGTTTCTATGACAAAAAGAAACAGGACCAAGAGTCTCGTCTCTGAGATGAGGAAAGCAGAACGCGGTCCAGACGTTGAGCATCACGAAGGAGTTTGATGCCGGAAAAAGGAAGTTGCCATGGCCAAAAGTTGTCGTTCTTTTCTTCTTGTTGCCTTTCTTTCGTATATCAAAAAACTCTATGAAGCGCTTAAAAATTTTATATACATTGACTTCCTCTTTAGCTTTTGTGCAAGAGCTGTGCTTCCTTCTTGCAGTTGCAGTTGCAGTTGAAGTTCAAGTTGACAGAGTGGATGTAGGGATGGTGGGGATGGAGGCATGGAAGGAAATATAAAGGGAAGCGAATCAAATGTCAATAGTTTCCCCAAAAGTTGAAAGTTGAGCAAGATAAATGACACTTGGAAGATGCAACAGAGACAACACAAACAGCAGCCAGCAGCCAGCAGCCATCAGCCAACTGCTTTCAATTTCAACAGGCAGAGAATATCCTATAATGAAAATGTTTTCCGAAATAAACATTGTACATTGATGGTCGGCCAATGGGGGATTGCCCGAAATTTGATGTTTGACAAAAGGAGTGCAGTGTCCTGCTCTGAGATTGATATATGTGTATCTGTGGGTTGAGGGGGACCATAAGAAATGATTGCCAGCAAATATTGAATTGGTTACTTAAAGGTTTACTTGCTTACACATGAATAGAGCTCAAACCGTCAGACCAAACGAAGCGATAAATCGCATAATAAAGCCATGAACTTTGTGAACTGAGTGGAAAATATGCTACATAATGTTTCATCTTAATACTTTAATTTTTGTTGTGTTTTCTTTCCTGCAAAAGCAGCTACTGGCTATGCGTATACTTTCTTGAATATTATATTATAATTCTAACACAAAACAACAAGCTAATCAAATGATACATAAATGTGTAAGAGGACGAGTACGAGTCATCCCGCATTTGTCAGATTACTTTGCTGCACAGACAGATACTCAGACTGACAGACAGACAGACAGACAGTCGCTTGATGGTGTCTGTTTCCCTTCTTGTCTGACAACCATCCAAATAAATGCAAAGCTTGTCGCGTGGAGGGATAGCTGTTCAAAAATATGATTGACATTTGTCATTGATGGCGGCAGCTCCACTCCACTCTGCATCCATTTAAATCTCCTCGTATAAGTGAAATTTCCCGTTTTCTGGCTACAGATAGCAACTCTTTCGGTTTACTTTTTTAGTTTTTGGTTTGAGAGAGAAGTCTGGATTTTTTTATAGTTTTCGCTTCTTTTCGTTGCCGTATCATTTACCCATCATGTCACTCCGATTTGTGACTCTCTTTTCGTCTTTCTATCTCTGTCGCTTCTGTTGCAGATATGCTGTGGTAAATGCTGTTGCTGTTGCTGTTCTTTTTGCTGCCAACTTCTCAGCTTGCTACCACTTATTACTAGAGGTTGTAGGGGTATATAATCTACCGACTACAGATCATTGCTTAGGCATAATTATTAGCAGAACAAATATATTTTTATTGCTTAGAAAATCCACTTTCTAGTTTCCTTTTACAGGATATATTTTAGTCGTTGGTCGCGTATATTCTTGCATCTTAGTTTTATTTGCATATTTACTTAAAAGCTGCAACAGCAAACAGCACAGAAAAAACCACAATCTTTGCCTTTGCAACGCCTCTCCACGTCCCTCTCCGACCCTCACCACCCGTCGTTCTGCTCATTTCGTTCGCTTCTTTTCATTTTATCAAAACGATTTTTGTTATGCTATTTTAGCTACGGTCGGGTCGGGTCGGATCCGCAGGGGGGAAAGGGGTTTTTTGTGGTTCCGTCAGCTGCTCCTGATGCTGCTGCTGCTACTGCCAGCAGCGACAGCTTTGTTTCTGTTGTGGTTTTCCTCGTTTTTGCCACTGATGTTGTTGTTGTTGTTGCTGCCGCCTGTTGATGTTGTTGCATTTGTCGAAGTTGAAGTGCAATTTTAATGCAAACAATTGAAGCTGAAGCGTGCAGAGCGCACGCAAGTGGAAGTGGCTCCAGCTTCAGCTTCAACTTCAGTCTTGGTCTCCACACCCAGCTTCCCTCAGAGCCCTTCTTTCCCCTGCTGCCAATAGCTACTACTCCGCCCTGCCCAGATTCTGTCAGGCGTTTTGCGGTTGTTGTTTTGATGGTTGTTATACCCTACAAAAAGGATATCACAATAGTCCAGCACGAAGCATCGCAGGTTGCATAAATTACTACTCCAATCAATCCGAAAGGGTATCAAGAGTTTCGTTGACTTCATGTAATGTTTTCCCTCTTTGTTGTTGCTGTTGTTATTGTTGTTGTTTAATGCTTTTGCTGTTGTGGTTGGCGGTTGGTTTTTGTCGATGACGGCAACCGTCTATGGCCGCTGATGTTGGCTTATTGAAATGCATTTGTTCAATATGTTGTTCGACATGTTGCTTGCTCCGGCTGCCTGGCTGTGCCTGTGCCTGTGCCTGTGCCTGGGATGGATGGATGGTAGCTAATGTTGTTCTTGTTTCGGTTTGCCTGTTGTTTGACTGTTGTTAGCTAAAGTTGCCACAATCGCAGTGAGTGCCGCACAACCACAACCATATAGTGAGTGCCACTGTCGAAGCCCCATCGCTGACTGTTGCAAATATTGACAAAGGCAACATGTACATGCGAGTGGGAGTAAGTGTGTGTGTGTGTGTGTGCTTGTGCGTGTGCGTGTGTGGGAGTGGAAGTAAGTTTTAGCACTATTAGCTATTGTTTGTCTTGAAACGGAGCTGTCGAAGGAGCCAAGGCAGCACTCACCAGTGGGATGGCAAAAGGAGCTGCTGTCTGAAGGAGCTGCTGCCACTATGGAGATGGAACCACGAGCCCTGGCCTAGTCTGTGCTTGCCACTTGATATTACGTATACGACCCGCCTGCTACCTCCCTCTGCGTTTGTCTGTGTTTGTGCAACCAGAGAGTGACGTTAATGCGTCAAAAGTGGTTCGCTTCGGTTTGCCTCAGTTTGACTTGTCGTCTGGCAGTCAATGCATTTGTATTTGCATTTGCATATTGTATTATTTACAAGCTCCCCCCCGCTGCAGCCCTACTGCATGCAAATTGTCAGGTAGGAATACCCCCAGCAGGACAAGAGGACACATCGATGACGACTCCATTGTTGGCCAACAATTGGCAACATTATCGCTGCTGGTGGTCGAACAGTGCCGCAGGGCAAAATGCACAGAACAAAACAAAAAACAAAACAGAACAGAACAGGGGAAAAAAAAGAAAATCAATATTCTGTATGGAGTATCTATGACAGATGGTTCGGCTTTAGATTGTTACATTTGGTCTGGCTCTCTGTCTCTATCTCTCTGTCTCTGTCTGTCTGGTGGGTTGCTGTCTCTGTTTATTAAGTTAAACAACGCAGCGGCGGCAGCAGCAGGCAGGCACAAAAAGGATTCATAAGGATTCCAGGGGTACGCACCAGCACACACACGTTACATACATACATAAATGTATACATATATGTATGTACATGGCATGTATATGGTTATATAATACATAAGGACCATTGTTATTTGCTCGCTGACGCAGCGCCCTGGCGGATCTCAGCCAAATGCAATGAGAATTTTGCAACCCTCCATTTGGGCAAGGCCAGGGTGTAGGCAGGCGGGGCGCAGGAGGCAGAGCAGAGCTGTAGAGACTGAAGCAGCAGTTCTGGCAGGAGGTAGCAACCGCAGTGGCAGCAGCAGCAGCCGAGGCAGCCGCAGAGGTAGCAGACCTCAGACACTGAGTGTTGAAGCTCAAATGTCGCATTGCAATAAACTTTAGCCGACATTTCTCTCTCTCTCTCTCTCTCTCTCTCTCTGTCCCCCTGCGTGTGTGTCCGTGTGTGTGTCATTATTATGCCTGTCAGGATGTGAGGGTAGGGCAGGGCCGGAAAGGACACGACAGGGGGTGCATTCAAGACTGGAAGGACCCCGTCCCCCGCTCTTTCTGCCATCTTTGAGTCAGGTAACGCATCAAGCTCAAATATATTAGGATAGGTTTCGCTTAACGCTTGCATTTTGATGTCATCCACCCATACACACATACATAAATATGTGCATACAATCATGGGTGTGTGTGTGTGCAGTCTGCGGCGAGGCTATTGAACTTTTGTGGCACTCCATGCACGAGTATGGGTGGGGGTATCTATGTGCGCGTACGGCCAACGCTGCCAAAAATAAAGCGAAACGCCTTTGGGGGAATTCGTTGAAAAAGTAACCCTCGAACGGATGGACTGCACTGCAGT